CATGCAATTCAACATTGGTGCGGCTGGTCGACATGGCGTCATGAAAGAGTTGGAGATCTCTGGTGGTTACTATACAAAAGCTGGAAATGGGAAAAAGAATAAGAAGAGAGTGAAGCAAGCAAATGCAAGAGCCCAAAGGGAATTTAAAGAAGCAAGGCAGAAGATCCGACAGGCGAAATTGGTTGAAGAGGCCAGATTGAAGGCATTAGAAGGAGTAACATATCAAAGCGCGGCATTTAACGAAGATAATTTCAATGGTTCAAGCAAGAGAAAGAGGAAGACAGATAAAACTACTCCTAAGGAAGGCAAGAGCAAGCAGACAAGGAAAGAATAACACTTTAAAACAGTAAAAAAACACTAGAATCACAAGTTTCAAGTCTACTTGGACTTTAACTGCCTTTTTCTCAAATTGCGATATTCGGCCGCTCATCAACTGCCCCCCAAGGCTATCTTCTTACTCTTTTAACGAAAATGTACCATTTTTGGCACACATGTAGCCAAGGTATGTAGAATGCTCCTATTACCCATTTTTTTAATATATATTTTCTAACAGGATTTACAGTGAAAATTCTATGTGCAATCTGTTTTATACGTTACCATAGCAACCATGGTGAATGACAAAAAAATGGGTAATAGGAGCATAGTTCAATATCCTAGCTACCATCATGTGCAATTTCACTTGAATACACAACATATTGAAAGAGATTTTATGGGGGGGCAAAGTGGCCATTAGAATTTAGTTTTCTATATACTACTCTCTTCTGTGGTGTCAAATTTCAATCTGATTACGAACACTGAAAAAAATTTTTGTTCCATTTTGTAGCTTAATATCTGTAGTTTCTAAAAATATATAGTTTATGCATATTTTGTCTTAAAACATGCCTGAAAACGATTGTTAAAGTTGGCCTAAGTTAAAGTAAATTTCGAGCAATCAAACTTTGCAAACAACCATAAATGGAACATTCCAGGTGTGGAAATCTGTTCAGCCGTCAGTACACAGTTTCTCTGTACCAGGTGGCTCAATCAAGATCCAATGTAAAATTTTTGGCTGTATTCGTCAACAGGTTGTGACACTACAACCACAATTCAATTCACAAGAGCTTTCAGAAAGCTGTTTTATGACAACCACTTGTGACCATCTAATACAAACTGCACTGCTGATTTAGATACCATGCTGGTTAGATGCAAAGACACCACAAAGACAACAGACCCTGCTGCCATGCAGTAATGAAATTGCTGCAAAAGAACCATTTTAGATTGACGAAGTGGACTACCAACCATCTTTGGTTGAACAAAACCTTATGAGGACCACCAATGCCATCACATATGTAACAGGTTATCTGTTGAGGAAATGTCTGCAGAGTCCTCAGAAATCAGAAAAAACTTGACAGTTCCGATAAACGTTTTTGTTATTTCAAAGCATATAACAACAAAAAAGGCCTAAATGGGTGGTCTTAAGTTCCCACAACTAGTCTTGTTCAATATGTAATAAATATAGAAGATCAATTTATGAAAGAATTTCCAAACAACATGTCCCAAACTGGTATTGGAAAAAGTCTGATTGATGCTCAATCAAAACGCATGGTTTCAGAGTGTAAGGAATTCCCCTGTGACTACATATGCAAACCATACGTAAGAATATGTGTTGAACTCATTTGGTTTATTTCGGTATATCTTATTATATATTATAAGTTTTATAAAGGTTTTTACATAACATAATACGACTACGAGACACACACATGAGGCATAAGTGTTCTCTGATCCCATGATGCTCTTCTCATAGGATATGATGTAATATGAACAACATGAAAAAATTGTGCAACACCCCCACTTGTTTTCATGACCTAAAGATATTTCCTTTTTTTTTAAACTTTACTCAACTACTAAAGTCTAACACATGCTAATTACATGCATGCCCACTCCCACTATCAACCTAGCCAAAAAACTAACAAACACTAATCACATGGATTGTATCCAAATAGGATGGGTCTAAACCTGTCCAGTTTAACTTTGGTAGCTCGTTTGGTAAGTATGTCTGCCACCATATGTTCTGTTTGACAGTAAACAATGTCTATTTTACCACCTATAAGTACTTCTCGTAAGAAATGATACTTGATGTCAATATGTTTGCATCTTTGCCTACTTACCAGATTTTTACTTAAGGCTATTGCCCCTTGATTATCCTCATATATTCGCGTGCATGTATATATTTTGCTATCCATACTGTTAAGTAACTGCATCAAATATAAACTTTCCTGAGACGTGGCTGCTAAACTTACATACTCTGCTTCACAAGTTGAAAGTGCAATTGTGGGTTGCTTCTTAGACTTCCACAATATGGGAGGACCATTCTCAGTTAAACTAAAACAGTACCCTGTTGTACTGTGTCGATCATGCAATGAAGATGCCCAGTCAGCGTCTGTATAAGCAATAAGATTAAGCTCACCATCACACTTTCTAAAACACAACTCATGCTCCATGCTGCCCTTTAAATATCTCAGTACATGCTTTGTAGTCACTAAATCTTCCAACCTGGGACATGACAATTTTTGAGATAGCTTGCTAACCACCCAACTAATATCTGGTCTGGTACATGTCATCAAGTAAATCAGACTACCTACAATCTCTCTATATCTCCTTGGGTCTACTTGTTCACTATCACTCATGCCCTCAAATCTCTGCTCGCATGGGATTGTTCTAGGCTTACAATTAGACATACCAAATATATCTAGTATTTTCTGAATGTATCTTTTCTGATTCATTTTAATAACTCCATTTCCTTGTTTAAAGCTAATACCCAAGAAATAAGAAATTTCTCCCAAGTCCTTCATCCTGAATTTAGATATCATGTTTTCCTTGAATTGACTGATCTTATCTGTGTTACTTGAAGCTATAATCAGATCATCAACCCATAACTACAATTACGATATCTTCACCTGTTTGCTTTTGATAAACACAATGGTCGACTGGATTTCTAACAAATCCATCACTTATCAAATACTCGTCTAACACCCTGTTCCAGTTCCTACCTGACTGCTTAAGACCATAAAGAGATTTCTTCAACCTGTAGACTAATTTGACACCGTTCTCTGACAACTCTTCAAAAACCCATAGACTGCTCCATGAATATTTCATGGTCAATAGGGGCATGAAGGAAAGCTGTTTTGACATCCATCTGATGAACAGTAAGATCATATTGAGCAGCAAGTTGCATAAGGATTCTGATTGATATAATGTTGGCAGTTGGGGAAAAAGTTTCCTCATAGTGAACACCATGCACTTGACTGTACCCTTTTGCAACGTATCTTGCTTTCAATGTTTCCAAACCATTTGCATCCTCCTTGATGGTATAGACCCATCTCCCCCCCCCCCACTAAATTCTTACCCTCTGATAAAGTGGTTAATTCAAACGTGTCATTCTCCTTAAGTGCTTCCATCTCACCTTTCATGGACTTCTCCCAACCTGAAGCTTCAGGGGACTCCATAGCTTCAGTGTACGTTTGCGGCACACCGCAAACTTTATAACAATAATCAACATTTACATTGGCTGAATTATTGACAAAAATATTGTGAGGCTTTTCTCTCCCTCTGATGATAACCTTAGCCTCATGATCATCTTCAACCTCTTTACTATCTTCAACACCTAACTATGGCCCTTCGCCTAAATTTAAGTTTTCAACAATTTCTTCAGGTTCGGGAAAATCTTTTTCCTGTCCCTGAACATCATTTGGGGAAATTTCATTTTCCTCCTTTCTACAAAGGCCTAGATCATCAATTTCAGTCTGCGTGCATTGTTCTGCACTGGTATTCTTAATAAACTTTACTAATCTGTGTTCCATGACTTTACCACACTGTGGGTGATAAACAAGGTGGGCTGGGCTGTTCTTATCATAACCGACAAATACTCCATTCATACACCTAGGGTCTAGTTTCTTATGATCATAGTTATAAATGTAACACTCTGAGCCAAACACCCACATCTTTGACAGGTCTGGGTTTCTTCCTGTCATGCTAAAATAGGGTGTACTCTGTTGTTGTAACACTTATTTCTAATATGAGCGGCACTTTGGACGGCATATGGCCACAACATCCTAGGCACACCACTCTCCAACAACAAACACCTAGTCATTTCAAATAGTGTCCGCCAGTACCTTTCTGCTGTTCCGGTGGGGAGAATTTGGACAAGAAGTTTCATGCTTAATGGCTCTTTTCCTAAGAAGATCTTGGAAATCACCATTCATGAATTCTGTGCCATTATCTGACCTCAAGCACTTTACCTGGCCATAAGGTACACAATCTGCAAGAAACTTCTCAGTTGCTAATAGGGTGTCAGTCTTATTTCTAAGGAAATATACAAAAATGGCTCCAGAAAAATCATCAGTGAATGCAATGCAATATTTAAAACCATTTTTGGACACTGGGCTAATGGGACCTGCTAAGTCTGTATGTACCTTTTCTAGGGGTTTTGTAGCTCGACTATCTGGTGGTCTATTACTACAATTTGCAAACTTCCCTTCTGTACATGTACCACATTCTAACTTGGACCTATCTACCTTCCCTACAACTTTCATCCCAGTGACTACATTTTCTAGTTTCATTATATCATCGAAATTACAATGCCCTAATATTTCATGCCACTTGTAAATACTGCATGCAAGACTTACCTTATCATATGAACTACTTATATTGCTATCATCATTTAGTTGATTAACAGTGTTCAAATAATACAAGTGTTCATGTTCCTCCAATAATGAAGTGGTACCATCTTTGTAGAGAAGTTCGTTTTTATCTTGTGAGAACTTTACTTTGGCTCCATTTGAAGTAGCTGCTCTAACACAAAATATATCCTGTGGATACGTTGGTATGAACAGTGCGTCTTTCAGAACAGCTTTCACATATTTTCCATTTTCATCAGCTATTGATACTTCAGCATCTCCACGTTTCAGTGCCACATTATTTCTACGTGTCCCATCAGCAAGTTCCATGTAATGCTTTGTTTGGTTAAAGTTACCATCAACACGTTTCAATACATTTTTTGTAACAATATGAGATGTAGCTCCAGTATCAACAAGCATCCCATTTGCTTTGTACTGTGACTGCTTAAGGTGACTCCCTTGCACATGAAAAGTGTACGAGTGTTCATCCCCTGGGTCACCGGACTGGCCACCAAATGTCGCTTGTTTTACTTTTGTAGCTTCTTGATCTTTTCGTTGATGTCTTCGACAGGTACTATCACTATGCATTGTTGACTTGTGGTATGAGCACCACTTGCTTGTTTCACTCTTAGTTTTGTCAGGACAATCCTTCATGATATGACCTTTGGGACCACAAGCATAACATGTGACATAACTGGATGCAGAAAACGATGGAGACTCAGTTTTCATTACTTGATCAGTCTTTGGCTTACAATTAAACTTCTCTGTTTCTTCAAAGCTTTTCAGTTGAGACTTGAACATAGCAAATGTAATTTCACTTGTACTTTGTGTAATATGGACAAAAAAGGGTTTGTATGAGTCAGGTAAACGTTTTAATATCACAGCAATAACAAGCCCATCACTAAGTGTCTCTTTAGCGTTTTTCAGGGCCATAATCGATCGTTCGGCTCGTATTAGATAGTCTGTCACTGTCTCGCTTGTTCCTTTCTTGAGTGACCTGAGCTCAGTATAAAGTGCTATTATTCTAGGTTTACCTTGGCTTGCGTAGTGGTCGCGTAAAATCTTTAAGGCTTTCCTTCCATCGCCAGCAGCATCTCTCATCACTAACGACAGGCTAGTATCATCCAAAAGTTGTATTAACTCGGCGTAACTCTCTTCATTCTTTGCTTCGTCGCCTTCTTCCTCAAGTGGTGCCGACGATAGAATTGTTTTCTTCAATTTTATGGTTTGCAAATAACCAAGTAATCTCGCTTCCCAAAGCTCGTATTTTGTTTCATCTCCGTCAAATAAAAGTCTTTGCAGTTTAGCATTGCTCCTGGGCCCATAACCTGTTGAACTCATTTGGTTTATTTCAGTATATTTTATCATATATTATAAGTTTTATAAGGTTTTTACATAACATAATACGACTACGAGACAGACACATGAGGCATAAGTGTTCTCCGATCCCATGATGCTCTTCTCAAAGGATATGACAACATTGTGCAAGAATATGAACACACTATTTTTGAAATTTGGTAACAGAGAACTGTCACTCAAGGAAGGAGGGAAGAACAGAAAATATTTCAAGGTAACACACCTTTGAGAACTGGTTAAAATTTCTACTGTATAAATATCAAGATTGTTTAAATGTAACATCTTGTCCCAAACTCTGATATGTGGTATTGAGGTTTGCAACATCATGGTTATTTGTCTAAATTATAGCTTTAAATAATAGACTGATAGTAGCTTGATCATGCTGTTGATATAGTGGGCCGAAAAAACGAAGTTTTACTTCACAGTACACATGGAACATAAATGAAAATGAATTAGATAACTTGAAATGATTAGCATTTACATATTTCGCATCCTTAGTCCATGAACAACTACCATGTCAAGGAAATATATGGCATTATAGCCAAATGAAATCCAGTATGATTGAGCACGACATATGTACAGCAGTGCAATGAGAGGCAACGGAAAGTGGAAGGCCCATTGGCCAAAAGGGACATTTTTGTACATAACTAAAATCGAATGATTTTTATGTTTTTCACGAGCCGAACACAAGTATAGAAACTGTATGTCGGAAATGGCTGCTGCAAAAAGGCACTTTCATTCCAGCAAATTCAATAAATCCTTTTCTCATTCTTTAGATGGGACACTTTAGGTGAGAAAAAAATGCACACTTTTTCACTTTTAAAAATGGGGTGTGTGCATGCATTCATTCCCCCCCCCCCCGGTTGTGCCCCCCTGAGATATTTCAGTTGTTTGGTACGCAAATATCTGGAACATACGTCAAAAATGCATAATGATTTAAAGTAAAAGCTTGCATATCGTATTCACTATTGAGTTTAATTTATTAAAATGAAGTTTGGAGTTGTGGGCAGTCTACATTGGCGTGCAAAATAATTTTGGCTAAAAGCCATTGCTTTTCCAACAAAAACATGAGAAAATTGAGCTAAAAGTCTTACCTGATGTATGTTTAAAATGTTTTTCTTTTTATGGTGTTTTTCAGTGCTTTGA